CCTCTGCCCTCTCCCTTCTCCTCTGTCTCTCTGGCTCTCTTTCTTTCTCACTTTCCCCCTCTCCACCCCCCTCTTTCGCTTCCTTGCTGTATGTCTTTATGAATAGGTCTTCATTCAGTGACCCTCCCTCCTACTCACTCACTCACTCACTCATTCACTCACTCACCCACTCACTTACTCACACAGCTTCGGTCTAAATGTCTGAGCACTTACATGATTTCGCAATAGGCAGAGCTGTAAGACGAGATCCATTATACAGCAGTTGGACCAAGGTTGAGTACATCCACATACATCAATTACCGATTTGTACCCTGCGTCGGTCTGCAGATCTGTCTGCGAGTCTTTGTCTCAGCTCATCTGCTCCTGCCACTATGTCTGTGTCTTTGTCTCACCCCCTTTCCCCCAACACGCTCTTATCATTCTCTCTCCACCAGCCCCCTCTCTCTGCCCCCCTCTCTCTCTTTTTCTCTATCTAACTATCTATCTCTCTCTCTCTCTCTCTTGTTCTCTCTCTCTCTCTCCCCTTTCTCTCTCCTCATCTCTCTCTTTCTTCCCCCTCTCTTTCTCCACATCGCTTCATCTCTCTGTCTCTCTGTCTCTCTGTCTCTCTGTCTCTCTGTCTCTCTCTCTTTATATGTATATATATTTATATGTATATGTGTGTGTGTTTGTGTGTGTGTGTTTGTGTGAGTGTGTGTGTGTGTGTGTGTGTGTGTGTGTGTGTGTGTGTGTGTGTGTGTATGTAATTTTATATAAAAATACGATATACTGCCAACAGTAAGGGTAAGAATCCCCCAGGAATATGACCCTCAGTAAGGTTTCTTAACCCCACGCCTGCACTTTTGATCCCTCTACAGCAGTCAGACTCATAGACTTATTTCTTCCCGTTCAGCCAGTCTACATGTGTTTTCTGTGTGTTCCACCTGTGCTTTTCTTGTGTGTGCGAGAGAGAGAGAGAGAGAGAGAGAGAGAGAGAGAGAGAGAGAGTGATAGAGAGAGACTGAGTGAGTGAGAAAGAGAGTTAGAGAGAGAGAGAGAGAGGGAGAGAGGGAGAGAGAAGGGGAGAGAGAGAGAGAGAGAGAGAGAGAGAGA